TAGTTGGACATCAGGATTGGTTTTACAGTCTTATTAAGGCTGTATCAGATTTTAAAGTGGGTTTTAAATTTTATGAAAAGGATTAATATAGAGTAAGTGATTTATGCCATTACGTCAGTGTAACTAAGCTCATTATTTGTGTCCTCATAGTTATTTTTCCAAACAATTCAGTGAGATCTATATTTCTATGGATGAAAGTTTTCTATAAAGCCAAATCAATCTTGTAGGAATCCTTGAAGATTCCTTGTAACTTTACCAAAAACATAGCAAAACAAAATACCTTTGATGCCCTAACATCTTCATGTTTCAGAATACAAACATTCCAAGATTGTTGTAACATGGGCCTAGCTTTACATGTTGAGTTTTGGAAAGTGGAAACTAGAAGTAGTTATCTGTTTATATTCGTTCCACTTATTGATGTATTTACTGAACATCTTCTGAGTGATAGGCACTGTGCTGGATGGTAGGGCTTCCACCATAAATATGACACAATCCCTGGCCTCTAGCAGCTCAGTCTATAAATAGGAAATAACAATACAGTACAGTGATAGAGCTATGCACATTGGAGCTATGAGAGAGAAATTGAATTCAGGCTTAGAAATAGGTTTCAGACAAGGCTTTCATGAGAAGGTGCACTTCTTGCTGGGGCAAGTAGGAATGAGAGAAAATGATGAACTAGAGAGGAAAAGCATTCCAAGTATAGGGAGAGCCCCTTCAGAGGCCCCAAGGAGATAAATACATATATGTAAAAGTACACACAATTTATCTTTCTGTAATATAACTACAGATGTGAGAGTGGTGAGGAAAATAAAGCATTCAGAAGCAATTGTGGTTCAGCTCATGTGGTGATATTAGGGGTTGGCTTATGGTAGTGTAAGGAGAATTGAACTCTGAGGAGCCACTGGAGGGTTTTTAGAAGAAGGACTTTGGCATTTATCTTTTTAGAAATCTCCCTAGTGCAGTGTTGAGAAGAAAGGATACAAGGCCAGAAGCAGTGTAGTGAGTCCAAAGGCTGTTGATGGGACCCAGCTGACAGTCAATAAGAACCTGAACTTGACAGTAATAGGGGTGGGAGTCGTAGTAGAAAAGGAAGGGATAGACTCAAGAATAACTTAGAATATAAACATATAGACTCAGTGATTTATTGAATTGATATTTATAAAATTGATTTATTAAAGGATATGAAAGGGAGGATGGCATCTGACCAACTCCTACTTTTCTGGCTTAGGTAACTAAGTAGATGGAAATTCCTCTGAGAACTTACATGGGGGAGCAGATGTGGAAGAGATGGGATGGGAGCCAAAGAAACTAAAATGAGTATACCTATGACATTATTCCACTCCCGGTGACCACGTAACTGCCAATGACCACATAACTGTTCAAGGATAAATATTAAACTTGATCTGTGTCTCTGAGGTATATTAACTTCTCAAATTATTCATAGGCTCGGAGAGGCAAAAGCATGGTATTTATAGTTCGCAGACATACTTTACCCTCATCTTTTCTCCGTGTTCTCAGTGTGTGTGTGTGTGTGT